AGTTATGTTACATTATTCAAATGCTGCTACTGCATGACACTTGGTTGTATTTACTCTTTACACATTTTGGTATCCTTGTCCAGTATAGTCCCATGGCCTTGTATCATGGGTGTTCTAATTTGAAGCACAGGGTTCTGTTTCCCTTGTTAGGGTTGTAAGGCCGATTTTCTCAGTGATGCTGCCCCTGACTACAGGCTGGTTCTGGGACTTTCTATGCAGAGGACTTGCATACAGAGGATTCTGATTGAATATTCCAGGGACACTTTTGCTAAATCCTGAATTTCTTGTATTGTCTATCAGTGAAGGGATTTAAGCCTGCTAAATTGCCCTGATTGCTTGAGGCTGCAAATCAGAAGGGAGGTATTTCATCCCACTAAAGAATTTTAAGTGGTACATCACAGATGTGGTCTGGCTAGAGAAGCTGATCTTGTGTAGGTGAAAGGGAGTGTGTAACTGCAGCATTGGTCAGCATTGAGGTGCTAATCTGAGTGAAAAACAGCTGAAGTAAGTACCTCTGGCAGTAGTGCCTTCTCTCTGTTCTGCTCTTAGGCACTTGAATCTGTCTCAAAAATAAACCACTCTTTTCTTTTCCCACCATCAAGGTAATGCAGTGGAAAAAATACAATAAGATGCATCAGGAGTATGTGTAAAAATCTGAATTGATGCTGAACGAGCTAATTTTCCTAATATTGAGTAGTTTACTTTGCAAGCAATAACTTACCTAGCTAAAGTAGAAAAACACCATGTGGTACCATGACATTGCACAGCTTCCCATCCTCTCTGAAGACTGCAGTTTTTAGTTTTGTTCTTTAACCGTGTCTCACTGATTCCTGAACACAGGATTTTGAGGGGAAGCTGGGGATTAGCAACAGCAACTGTTGTAGTAGTTAGGGCATTCCCCTTAAAGAAGGGAGAGTGGACTCAGATTGAGCCCCAGCCTCAAGGACTCTGTTGAGATGCAACAGGCCACTCTCTCTTGCTTCCTCCCAGCAGATACCTATCTGCAAGTCGTCTGCAATCTGAGAGTCGTTTGCCAATGCTTTCTTTGGCTGGACCGAGGTGGTTTCCTGATCAGGATCCCTGAGGCACCTTATAGATGATAGAGATTTTATTTTTCCTAACATCTATTTGGATCTCAAAGCAGACCTCTCCTTAAGACCTTCACTTCAGAGGTGGTTCTTTCTCTCAGTTTTCTCTACAGAGCTGGAAAACTTTTCTGACTTTACATGATATGATTTATTAGCTGGGTCAGACACTTACTTTGTGTTGCAGCCTTGAGTTAATGTCTAAATTAACTGAAATGTCTCAAAAATGTCTTAGTACATAATTTGGATCTCAAAGCAGACCTCTCCTTAAGACCTTCACTTCAGAGGTGGTTCTTTCTCTCAGTTTTCTCTACAGAGCTGGAAAACTTTTCTGACTTTACATGATATGATTTATTAGCTGGGTCAGACACTTACTTTGTGTTGCAGCCTTGAGTTAATGTCTAAATTAACTGAAATGTCTCAAAAATGTCTTAGTACATAACATGTAAGCATAGTTATCTGCCTTCTGGAGATGGAATATTGTTAAGTGTTACCAAAAGGCTTTATCATCTATGCTTTATTGCTTGCCACTAGTGACTTTCAGGGGCTATAGTGACTTCTCTGTTGATGGAATTCCACAAGGAAGGGAAAGGAAAATCATTTAATCCCTGGATAACCACTCTGATAGGTGACTTAATTGGGTTTCAGCTGGTTTTGTGGGGATTTTTTGCAAATTTGTTGTTTGTGCATCACCTCAGTAATATAAAAATACTCTGATTTTAAATAAATGGCTATTATATACACAAACTATAAAAATTTCCTGCAAAACATATATTGCTATACTTTTATTTTTCTTGTATTTGCACTCCATCTTATTCCTGAGATTAATTTGTAGCAAAGTAAAAGGAGCCATTGTAGGTCATGTAATGATAGCTGATGTGTAACTCAGTTCTGTCATGATTTTAAAGGGAAAGAAAAAGTCAGTGAGGTTACTGGAAAGTTTGAACTTACTGGTTTTGAGGAAATCCTGTTTGCTGGTTTTTTGTACATTACTGAAAGTTTTAAGGTGGGTATTGACAGCAATGATGTCATCAGGTCTGGACCCCATGCACTACAGATGAGTGGAGTTATTTGCCCTAATTTTCATAGGCCTGGTCCAGTGACATAGAATGGCATTAATTTTGTAATTAGGTCATTTCAATCTTACATCACTCATTTAAATATATGTTCTGCTTAGCACCTTGTACACTTTTGTAGCCACATGTTGTCAGTGTAAAAAGACTTTTAGTTATCATGGATTGTGGGGTGAGGAAGAAGAGGACAGAAGTTGGTGTGTCAAGATACATACAAAACAAGCTATGACTCTTAGGACTATTAACAGTAATGGAAGAAAAATATTGTGGGAATCTGTATCTGTGAAACAAGTGCATGAAGATTTCATGATAGCTAGCAAGTTATCCAGAATCCAGATCACAGTGGAGATGGATAAGAATTTGACAGCTGTTGAGAAAACAAGAATATATTTTTAGTGTATTTGCTGTTGACAACTTTTTGCTATGAAAAGTGGAGAAGACATTTATAGGAGAGAGACTGTACATGAAAAACATGAAAGTTGAGGAAAGTGTGGGTAAATGTGACTTAAGTGAGAGTTTATGGTCCCTAGTAACAAAAGGAGGGAAGAATGTTGAAGTAAAAACAATGGATTTTGTGAAAGGAAGCTACAGTAAATACAGAATTGGTAGATAAGATCTCTTCAGTCAAGCCTCAAGGGGAAAAGGATTTAAGGAGAAGTGATGCTTTGTCAGAGATAATACTAAAGCACAAACAATGCTAATGCAGAGATTTAGACTTTAATTAAACTGTAAATTCTTCACTGATCTCTGAGACTTTCTCAGGTTGCTGAGGAAGAGAATAAAAGACTTGTATGAGAAAGGGACAAAGCTGAGTAAGGAGCAGGGAATGGGATCACCCATATTAAACTGCATGTCATTTTTAAACAAGAGGCATCAAGTTAGTACACACATGCACACACATCAAAAAAACTTTGTCACACAGTAAAAGAAGAGCCAAAAAAGTGTTTATAATTTATAAGCTTTTCCTCCAATGACATGAAACTGGTACTGAGGTTCTAAAGCTTTTAATCTATTTTTGCTGAGAAGAATTAGGTATGCATAGGTGGCTAGCACAGTGCTATTGCCAGAACAGTATCCTGTCATCTGTCTTTGTGCAAATTAGTTGTTTCTGAAAATTAAATACTACTATGAAGCATAAAAGGATTCAGAAACTCTGTGACCAATTTATGGAATAGTGTAGGTAGATTTTCATTTGAGAGTATTAAACATATGTATTCTGGAGGTTACTCTAAAAATACGTAGATATTCCCTAACTTCTCAGTGTGAAAACTGGGCTTCCAAGATCTTTTTTTTTTTGAAGTTCACACTCTTGACAATCTGCCTGGCAATGTTTCGGCCCAATAAACACCTGTTTTGGCTGGAAGTTTGTTTTTAAATTATATGCTTCTTTCTTCTGACTTGCCTGTAATCAAACCAGAAACCAGCAATTGTTTCTGCTTAATTTAGTGCAACAGTGTGTCTGTTACACCATTTAGAGAGTCAAGAATTTGTACAGAATATGATACCATAAGTAGGTAAGGAGTAATTAAAATGTAATGCTTTATTTTAAGCAAACATAACTGTCTGCTCCTGCAGGAAGAAATATAACTAGCTTAAAGTCAATTGTGTATTGAGGGATAATTCTTCCTGACATAATTTAGCCTGTGCTGGCACAGATACCTGGTTATGCTACAAACTTCTTCAGGCAACCATTGCATCATTTTGGTTTCCAACAAATGCTATTTTATCTATGTTATAAAATGGGATTTATGCTACAACTAGGGTAAATGAATGGAAGAGCCAGTAATGATACCTTCACTTCAAGATTCCACTCTCTTCCATGCAGCTCTTGGGAAGGATGGTGGTTTGTTTTGTAATACAGACAGTACAGAGGGGCATGAAATGCCAGTTAGAGAAGGCAGTGATATTTTTGGGCACTAAATGTAAGTTTCACTGTAGTAGGTCCATGTGAGAATGCCATAGTATAGGATAAAAACAGTAAAAGGTCACAGCCTACTTCCCACCCCCACCCCAACCATTATTGGGAGCATATCTCCAATGCTCTTCTCATCTCAAGGCTCTGAAATAAATTTTTGGAATTTGTCATGTTAGTTCATGTCATGACAGTTATGTCAGTTGCTTTAGCTGGTTCCCATCATTTGAATCAAAGGATCAAAGTACCTGTATCCTCCGGGACAAGTATAAATAAAAAGAATTGAAATGTTCTTAGAAAATCTTCTTGTCATACTGGGAATCAGTTGCTAACTTAGCTTTTCCAAGCGATGAAACTAAGCGAGAAAAAGCTGGTGCCAGCTCATCCTTTGGAGCAGCTCTGAAATATTGCTAGTGATTTGCATAAATTATTCTTAGCAAAACAAAATTACTGCAGGAATATTACATGCGTGACATATTACACATAGTCCAGCTCTTTCAAGAAATCACAGTATTAAGAATACAACTTATCTCTATGTTTTAGGAAGCTCAACATCATAAGCCTGATCTGTGCAAAATTCATCTTCCTTGCAGCCTGGCAAGATGGATATGCCTTAACTGGGTTGACACCAAGTTGTGATCACTGTGGGGAGAAAAAAAACCCCTTGCAACTAATAAGGAAGAGTGGCACTTTCAATAAGTTTCATTTGAACCCATTTTTTTCTTGGAATTAATTTTAACTCAGGGTTTCTGTTTTAGATGGTAGAAATCTCAGCTTTCTCCACGCCGATGTTCCCTAATTTTCGTTCTGTTAAGTGCTCAAACTGTGTAACACCAGTGAAATCTACTGTAAATTGAGTGGGAGTAAATGTTTAATCTTTCTGTGAACTTTGACTGGCATACTAGTGGTTTCTCTTTTTCTTTGAATTAGATGGAGAGCAGAAGACTCAAGTGATGATTCATGGAATTGAGCCAATGCTGGAAACACCCATTCAGTGGCTAAGTGAACATATGAGCTATCCAGATAATTTCCTCCACATTAGTATCATTCCCCGACCTACTGATTGAGACTCAGCTATATTCCTATGAGGATCGTTCTCAAGCTGGAATTAGAAGGGCATGTCAACTTCTTGCTCCTGTCAGCCTTGACAGAGGCAGCCTGACCAGAAAAAAAGAAACCAACAAAAAGCCGAAACAAAACAAGAAGTCCTCACTGCTGTCAGCCAAACAGGAAGAGAGATCCTATCATCAGATAAGGGCAATTGGGCTGTTCTTATTTTGCATCACTGCTGCGTTTCTTCACCGCTGTAATTAAATCAGTTGCGATATGAAAGAATTTACAGGACTTCTGCAAGTCTGCTGTTTTCTTGTAAAATAGAATGAAGCTGAAACTGTCAGCCGAGGAGCAAATGGAAATCTACCACTTGATTGTATTTCTGATTAACAAATAAACAGGGCTGTTTCCTAAAGCAGTAGTGTTTCAGCTTTGAGGGTGGAAACATTGGTTTAATTTTCTAGAAAGTTAGACACCGAGAGATTCAGTTACCAATAGCTTTTTTGTAAAAGATCAAATTACTGTAAATCCATCTTTCCTTAATGAGAAGTTCATGTTTACAGTATATGTATTGGGATGCAAATGATCTTTTCACTTTGATAACAAGCAGTGAGAGATTTTAAAGTAAGCCCGTGAGCATGTTTTGTCAGTTAAAAACATGCACAACTTAATAATTTACAAATACTTTTGATTTGTATGCTGTCACTGAATACTCCAGTGTGTTTATTATTCAAACCAGTTTTCACAGACTTGCAGCGACATAGGATAATTTGTCTCAGGAGTCGTCATGGCATTTCTTCGTGCTCATCTAATTCTTTTTTCTCAAAGAATATTGTCTTAATTTAATTTAAAAAGTGGTGTGGTTTTTTTTAAAAAAAAACAAACCTAAATGGATGTTGCAAACAGGATTGTATCCTTTTGTTTATTGCCATAGACTGGGAAACAGTTAAATCATAGAATGATGAACAAATTGCTTTTTAATGATTTTGAATTTTGGAAAGCTGAGGCTTTTCCAAGTTAATACTTCCTTACCTCTGTGGTCCCTGAGCAATCAGTACAAAATTTGGAAGCTTCTTATCTCATTGCACAGATATTTTTTTCCTCAGTTTAGCAGATATATTTTTAGGTTATTGGATCATTTAGGTTTCTGAATGTTTGTTACCATTGCAGATGCTACCAAAACTCTACCAAATCTTTTTGTGTTACACTGAGTTCATCACACTGTGTGCTCTATTGCTTCGTCTGCAGTTTGTGGCTGTTTGTGGCACAAAACTATGTTTATAGTTGACATATTATCCAATATGTCAAATATTATCACATATAAAGAAAGCATGACATTTTTCTTTCATAGTGGCTGTTGGAGTTCCTACTCACAGTCTTGGCTTGTAAATGTCCCAGTAACTCCCAGTTCGTTTCCATGCTCCCTTTATGGTAGGATACTTACCTGTATCTGAAAAAGAAGAAAATGAAAGTCAATCAAACAAAAACCTCTTTATGAAGCAAGAGGGGAAGGATCTCCATGGGTGAGGATAGAATTGAGGCTAAGAGGAGCCCTAAGGGCAGAAAAAGTCAGTGGACAGATTAGATAGTGTTTTAAATGTAAATGAGGAAATAGCATTAAGGAAATGGGAGGGAAAAGGTACTAATGGAACAAAGCTATGCTGTATTCTGCAGGTCATGAAGGATTTTTAGAGCAAAACAAAATCTGCCGATCTGTGTTTATGCAGAACTGAAACATAATATTCCTATAGTGGGATGATTTGATTGAGTTATTCTAATTTCCAGTTCTGTTTGAAATTTTTATTGCAGCATTGGATTGGCATTTATAAACTTTCTTAGGCAGACACATCTAAATATTTTGGAGAATTTCAAAGTCCTGCTAACGGATAAAGCAAATATTTTGTAGAGTCTTCATATTTTAAAAAACATCTTTTGTAGGGATATTTTTTCCATTAATCAGGATAAGAGGCAATACATTTAAAAAAATTGTAAAGGTTGTGGGGTTTTTTGTTTTAAGGTAAGCTGGAGTGAGTCACTGGCTATTTTAATATATTCTACACCAGCATTTAAAGTATACAGCTCTTCTCATGGCCCAGATTTGCTGGTAAACCCGACGTTAAGGCCTAGCATGGAACAAAGAAATAGCTTGGCTTTAAAACATACTCTTTCCTCTTACTTTAACTATTTAAACTTTATTAAAAAATAAAAGAAAGTTTGAGTCTGTCTTTATTTCCAGCTAAATAAGGATCTTTGTCATGGAGTGACAAGAATACTTAATGAGTAGGAACTTCTTAAAGAGCTGGTTGGGTGACGTATCTGAACCAAAGCACATCATCACAAAATGAAGTGGCATCTTTGCTTTACCTGACTTAAATCACATTTTTGTAGTTTCTTTTTGATTAAATACTTCCCTTTAAAATGCTGTAACTTCTGAAAAATAGATTTGGTCTAAATTGGTCAGAATCTAAAGTAGTGCTCACTAAATTAATTTTAGTAGTAAAGTGCCAAATACATGGATGCACACTCATCAACACTTGGAATTGAAGTACAACTGGTGAGCAAATTAATCATAGGGTAAAGAAAGCCAAAACCGAGAGCTTGTTGTTCACTGTATTTCATCTTGTTTGGCAATGGCTACTTTCATTTCTTGAATGTTTGGTGAAGAAAGAGTGAATTTTCTAATTACTTCTTTGATACCACTGGCTGTCAGTCTGCTCATGTGGTGATGCCTTTAGGTGCTAAAAATAGGTTCTTTTAATTGATTTCCATTAGTTCATGAGTGGGTGAAAAGGAGCATCCTAAATAAACCAATTTTGTACTGGTAAAAAGTCAAATGTCATTGCCACATTCCAGAAGACCTGGTAACCCTGGGAAATGGAGAATGGGAAAAATGTTGGAGTGACTTTGGAGAGTGGCTGAGGAGAAGGATTTCTGCTGGGAAAGGAGTAGAGTTTGTGCAATGGTGTTTTATTCTGCTAAAGCACTTGTAACCCTGGGTTCCCATTAGGTACAGAAATTCAGGAAGGGGTGGGGAAAGGGGTTGTTACTTACAGAAAGGAAACCTGTTGAGCTATTTCAAGCCCAGTTGCTTCTCCACTAAGAGTTTTGGTAGATGTGGAGCAAGTCAAGACAACGGTTAAGCTATGAAAAGGGTAAGCACTGGTTGCCTGCAATGACGTTCATTGGACTCAGTGACTGGGAAAGTCCTTTCAGTTCTGTGTTCCTGCATGTTTTGCTCTGCTCTATCAGCTGATGAAGATTTGGTCATCATATTCAGTGTAATGTATATCCTGCATAATAGTTATGATTTTTTAAATTAATTTATATTATAGAATCGCAGAATCATCAAGCCTGGAGACTTCTAAGATCATCAAGTCCAGCCATTAACTCTGCTGGAACCTCTAAACCCTAAACCATATCCTCCAGTGACAGATCCAGACATCTCTTAAACACTTCCAGGGATGGTGACTCCACCACCTCCCTGGGCAACCTATTCCAGTGCCTGAACACCCTGACAGGGGAAAAATTTCCTAACATCTAATCTGACTCTCCTCTGTCTCAGCTTATGACCATTCCCTCTAGTCCTCATGTGGTGAATGATGTCTGAGTGACAGCTCCATGTTTGTGGCACTGCTGATAGCCAGTGTTTGTTCAGTTTTGTTACTTAGGGAAATCTGTGTCTTGGCTGTGCATTAGCACATTCTTAAGAGATCTCTAGAGCTGAAAAAATGACTGCTGTCTTGAGAGAATGTTTTAAGCAAATTTCACAGCTTGCCAGTGATAATTTAGCAAATCAAGGGACTGGACAAGAAAAGGATAGATTAATCCCTTTCACAGGTACTTTACAAACTTCACATTGTTACATGCAATGGTTTTAGACTCTCCAAGGAACCTAGATGTTAGTTTGCTAGCAAATTTTGCAGTAGCTTGCAGAATTTATTCATATGACACCATGTGTAGTTGTTAAAACTGATTGCTTACTTGAGTATTAATATTTACTTACTTACTCTAGTATAAATATTGTTGATTATCAAATGTATCAGGAAGAGGACAGTGTTAGTAATCATGAGAGCTCCTGTGGGTGTGATTGTTCTGGTGCTGCAGATGGATGAAGTGTGGAGATTGAGTGCATATCTGGCAATTACTACAACTTTGGCCTTCCAGCAAAAAAAAACCCCAAACAACCAAATGTCTTCACTGAGAAAATAATGTTATTTTCCGGACCAAAAGATATTTGCCATTCAAAATTTGTGGCTGCATCAGAATAATCATAGAGCTTTAGGGGTTGGAATGGATGTTACAGATCATCTAGTCCCAACCCCCTGACATGGGCAGGGACACCTCCCACCAGAGCAGGTTGCTCAAGACTTCTTCCAACCTGGCTGTGAACACTGCCAGGGTTGGGGCAGCCACAGCCTCCCTGGGCAACCTGTGCCAGTGTCTCACCACCCTCACAGGAAAAAACTTCTTCCTAATATCTAACCTAAATTTCTTCTCCTTCAATTTGTACCCATTGCCCCTTGTCCTGTCACTGCAGTTCCTAACAAAGAGTCCCTCTCTGGCTTCACTTGAGCCCCTTCAGATACTGAAAAGTTGCGATGAGGTCTCCACAAAACCTTCTCTTCTCCAGGCTGAACAGCCCCAACTCCCTCAGCCTGTCCTCATAGGGGAGATGCTCCAGTCCTCTTATGAACTTTGTGGCCCTTGGACTTGCTTCTACAGTTCCATGTCCTTCTTATGTTGAGGGCACCAGGACAGGCTTCTGGAAGTGATTTTAGCCATTGATTTTAGCAGTTCCTGTTTATTTGGACAGGAAAGGGAATCCTGAAGTGATTTTTTCCCTTTCCTTAGGATGAGAAAGGGTATGCACAGAGGTTCTTAGAATGTCACCACATGTAGAATGGGTTCTGAATTAAAGCAGGTAGGTATCTATTCTGCGTTAGAGCTTCTGGTTTTGAGACAGGCGTGGTGACATTTCAAAATGTCACACTAAACCTGAGTAATAACTCTTGAGAGAACGATAAAAAGGTGTCAAGTTTCAAATGCTCAGAACTAGATTTCAGATTTCTGTACTTTCAAGTTATACTATCAAATTAGCTTGTGGAAGATGAGTTTAAAATGAAAGAGATGTTTTCTTGCCTTCTCTTGCCTTTCATGTCTCCATTATTCAAGTAATTAAGTTCTTTTAACTGAAACGAAACACCAGTTTCTCTAAACAATGGATTGAAGAACACAAAGGAATACAAAACAGCTATGCAAATGGCTACATGAAGAAGAGTTTTGCATAGGTCAGGATTTTCTATGTATAAAATAACTGGCATTATATGGAGTTTAAAGGTATGGATTCCCACGTGGGTTAAGTAGTATTTACATGTGTAAAAAACACTTAGGGTAGAAACAGAGGCTGTCACACTGTGTTAGGCTTGGAGGAGCTTGACTTCACGTGAAACTGTCAATGTGTCAGATTTTAAAATAGCACTTTCCACTGAAGATGTTTGAAGCCTTAATCCTTGCATCATTTCACTCATGTGGGTCAACAGGTACAATAAAATGAATATGTTGTGGAAACACATATGTAATCTGGTTACTAACACACACTATATTCTCAGCACTTACTGTAATTGTGAGTATAGCATGGTGGAAAGGGTGAAGCCAATATGTGATGTAGTTTGTTTGCATCTGCCAGAGTTTGGAGATCACTTGTTAGGCTTCTGTCAGATGTGTTTTGCAAATTCACATACACATCTTAAAACCCCTAGGAATTAGGCTCTCTTTCAAAGAAAACTGAGCCCTGATGTGGGGAGAGGGGAGGGGAATCAATGGCACTGTTCACTAAACCTGTCCCTTCAGTGTTAGTGAGAGGCATGTGGAGAGAGCACACCAGTGACAGCTGGGGATGTCTT